CTGGGGAGAGGAGCTCTGCCCTTGTTTACCTTGGTAGCCAGTTCCAACCTCATCTGGATGGGGCGTGTGTCCCAGGAGGAAAAATGGCCTCTTTAGACCTGGGATGGAGTGTGCTGTAGAATCACATGAACAGATTGTAAAAACCCAGGTTGGTGGGGCCCAAGGATGGACATTCTAACTAACTCCCAGGTGATGTTGCTGCTGGTCCAGGAACCACAGCTTGATAACCACTGATAGTCCTTCCTACTCCCTGTTGGTCTTTCCATTTTTAAGACATTTTATCTTTCCTTTTGCTGCATACATTGCAACCCATTGTGTAATTGATTTAACATCCCTAGTGAGCATCTTCGGGGAAAAATTGGTGAGAAACCTGTGGGTGATTTATATGAAAATATATTGTTTTTATAATGATCATATGATAATATGGCGCTTCACCAGCCTAGTGGAATGGATGTAAACATGCTCTTTCATTTTTCTTTTTTTCAAAATGCCGTCAGCTTATTGGTCTAGTTGAGGATGACTTTAGTTTATTTTTTTAAGTTTGTTTTTTATCGTTGACAGTGTCCCCTCTCCCCCCCTCCATCTCCCACTGCATGGAACATTCTTTCTTTCAATGAAGGATTTTTTTTCTCTTAAGTGTCTTAATCTCAGTGAATTGTATCCATCTCATGGCACAAAATTAGAAGTTCTCTTTCAAACCTAAACATTCTACCTAAGGAAAGCTGAGAAGAAAGCTAGGACAAATGTCATTCTCACCAAAGTTTAAAACAAACTTTGTAATTTTCTCACAGCCTGTCTTTCTTTCTTTCTTCACAGAGAGACTGGGCAGCTAGCCTGACCTAAAACATCAGTTAGTCAGCAACTCTGCAAAAAATTGTGTTTTTTCTGCCAAACCTTTAGCCACCACACCCATTGCTGGAACTTTCCCTGATATTTTACCCCATTCAAATATGCTCTAAACGGGTCCTAACCAAGCTTGAAATATACCCCAAACTTGCTTCTGTTGGGTCTCTTTTTGTCCCTTACTCTATATGAATAGTAAGTGAATATTATTCCCAGGTTCTTATTTTCCTAAGACTATTCTAAACTTATTTTTAATTAAGTCATGAGAATAGGAAACCACTAGATTGAGGACTCCTACAAACAGAGCTGGTCTTCTCTGTTCACATCACACAAGTAAGGGTTTTCTCAGGTTTGAACTCTGACCTTTAACCCAAATGGAATTCCTTTGTTGTGGTGGTTGTATTTTCTGGTACCTTTTCCTTCAGCAAGTCATTCAAAGAAGTATATATTAGTTATTTAGAATCCAGACATCAATTTTCTATTATCTGGGAATCATTGGATGTTGAAGTTTTAATTTTCTAAATGGTTTTCTCCATCCAAAAGACCAAAGTATAATCAGCATGTCTCTGGGTAAACGAAGAATTAGAACAAAGGGACCTGGATATTCTGTCTTTTATTTTCGGACCTCAGATCTGAACTTGGATTATTCATTATCCTTGATTTGTGATGTATTGTCACTATAAGTCCATGCATTTCCTCCATTATATCAATTCATTTACTTATTTAGTTAATTTTTTAAAATACAATTTTATTTTTAATTTCTAACAAGCATCTTCATTCCTAGTTTTAAAAATTTGAGGTGAAATTTCCATATATTGAAATGCACACATCTTAAATGTATAGTTTGATGAATTTGACAAATGTATAAACTTGTGTAACTAATACTTCAATCAACATATTAAACAGGAAGTTCCCCGGTACCTCCTTTAATCATTTGCCACTTCCTACAGATAACTATTGTTCTACTTTCTATCACCATAGATTGCCCGTTCTTGAATTTCATATAAAAGGAATCATGCAGTACATAGTCATTTATGTCTGGCTTCTTTTGCTCAACATACTGTTGCATGTATCAACAGTTCAGTCTTTTTTATTGTGGAGTAATATTTCATTGTATTGGAATAACATTCCATTGCATTAAGTATGTGAGAACGCACAGGGGCAATCTTCCTCTCAGACGTGTTTTTGAGGATATAGGACAATCACTTTAAGAGCATAGTATTTTCTGACGCCCTTTTATTTAGCCTTTCTATTTTTGAAAATACTTTGACCCATTCATGACGATTGGCATAGTTTTATCAACACAGATGCTCACTCAGTTAGGCTGACTCTAAAATACCTCAGGCCATTGGCAAGTCTGAGTTTTAATATATATGGAAATTCTATTCTTAGTGTTAGTGCTTCACCACTTCAGGCTTCTGTTCTTATTCTTCTCTGTAATCCTTTAAAGCCCATTTGGAATTTATTGAGACTTATTTTGTGGCCTTGCATACGTGGCCCATCATGGTGAACATAACTTGGACTTGAAATGTATATTCTGCATTTAAGTGTTTTGTTCTATAAATTGAATTAGATCAAGATGGTTACATGCCGAAACCGGTTTGGCTCAGTGGATAGAGCGTCGGCCTGCGGACTGAAAGGTCCCAGGTTCGATTCCGGGCGAGGGCATGTACCTGGATTTCGGGCACATCCCCAGTAGGAGATGTGTAGGAGGCGGCTGATCAATGTTTCTGACTCTCTATCTCTCTCCCTTCCTCTCTGTAAAAAATCAATAAAGTATATTTAAAAAAAAAAAAGATGGTTACATTTTCACCACCCTAAAAAGTAATCCTGCCCTAACAGGTTTGGCTCAGTGGATAGAGTGTCGGTCCACAGACTGAAGGGTCCTGGGTTCGATTCTGGTCCAGGGCACATACCTTGGTTGCAGGCTAGATCCCCGTCGGGGCATATGCAGGAGGCAACCAATGGATGTGTCTCTCTCACATCAATGTTTCTCTCTCTCTCTCTCACTCACTCTCTCTCTTTCTCTCTCTCCCTCACCCCTTCACTCTCTCTAAAAATCAATGGAAAATATCCTCGGGTGAGGATTAACAACAACAACAAAAGTAATTCTGTATGCTTTAGCTATCACCCACCTTTTCCATATTACATACATATTTATTATGTTTACTGTCTGTCCTCTCCTTACTGTTACATGTAGCGAATTATGTGATAAATATAGAGATCAAGAGTAAACATTTATAAGTTTTTTAAACAATGAAATATTGTCATCATAGTTTTATGTTATTAAACAAAGGATTGGTCCCTAAAGAATTGGAAATGTTTTTAAAAAATTGGTTCTTTACTGCTTTGAAAATTATGGCCTAGATTCTTATACCTCCATGCCATAGTATTTGAAAGGTTCTGGACAGAACAGAGAAGTAGATAATTACCTGTCATACTTGGAAGTGTTTCGTGCCCTACACAAATCATAGTTGCTAGCAAAGAAAATCAATCCTTGCTTTTATAAATTGGTGGGGCAGTGAGAGCTTTTTCATTGTGAGCATTACTTTGTTTTACTAGCATTTCCCATGTTTATTGCTGAGCTGACGTGTGTTCCTTTCTATATATCTCGTGATATCTAGAGTGCTTTGAAGTGCAACTTTTAAAATGAAGGTAATGCAAGCCACTTAATTATATGAAAGTAAAGGACTGAAGGCCATTCAGCTTAATCCTTTATGTTCTCAGTTTTCACGTTTTAAGTTTTCCAGCCTGAAGTGTGATTATTAAATCTGTGCCCCACCTTGCTGGACTAGCTAAATGTGCGAGTAAGTTTTTGAGAGCTACCTAGGCTCATAACCTGGCTTGTTAACCACCTGAATTCTGGTCACTGTAAATGCACGCCTTAGGTATTTTTGTGCTGTAGTATTTCCACATCACATGGTAGAGATATTTTATACCTTCTGAGGTAAGTAAAGTTCTGGGAAACTCTTAGATGAAATCTATAAAAACTATAAAAACGAAGTAATATTTCACAATGATTAAATGGCATATTATTAAAATGAATGTACATAAGAACTGATCCAACAAGCTTTTTATCAGAACTGTGAATGTGTTTGTAAAAATAAAGTGGTGAGATCTGGCTGCCTGGAAACAAGGGCAAAGGTTTCTATTAAACAGCATACCCTTCATTTCCCAGGTATTTGTTACACCACAGTATCTGCAGAGTCGCAGAAGCCTTATTTGGGCCTATTGGGAAAATGTGTATGCTACTTAGTCTGGCACCTGAAATGCGTTAATTAATATTGAAAACCACATAATTTGACTTTTTCCTGCTTTGACCAAATTTCTTGCAGGGCTAAGTTCAGTCAATTTTTTGAATAGGTAAAAGAGTGAGTAGACTGTGACAATTTCAGTATAAACCTATCTTTCAGATAGAGAATCAGATAAGCAAATATAATATTGTTGGAAATCAGACCTAGGCTAAAAACCGGTCTTTGCTATATTTACTTGGCATGTTTCCTTGCAAAAATCAACAAACATCTTTGATTTCATTGTAAAACAAAGATGAATGTATCCATTTTATAGGGTCGCTGTTATGATTAAGGATTGTGGATAATGTATGTAAATGTATAGGGACCACTGTAGACACTTAATGCATGGTAGCTATTGTTGCATTAAAAAATAGCAGTTGATTTGTGTGTGTTTACTATATATGCACACAATGAGAACCATTTTCTTACACAAGTCTTATGGTAATCCTTATACAGAAAAAAGGGGGCAAAATTAAGAGAGTAGAGATTGGTTTGGGCTGGAATAGGGAGGGAGGAAGTTCTGGTCTACCCAGCATTCCTCAAGGCCCCGAGCAAGGCTCCATAGCCATGCCTGATAGAGCTCTATAGAGTGCGGCATGGAAAGCATTCTTCTGGACTTTAAACACCTTGAGTGCAAGAACTGAATCTTGTTTCATTAACTGATACAGGTATAGCATGTGGTCTCTCAGTATAGTGACAGTTGACCACAGCTCGTTAAATGGTTCAATTAATTCAGGTCTACTACTTCAGAAATTCCCTCGATTTGCCTGCCAGGTGGAGTTATCATTTGAAGTTGAATTATCAAACCTGCCAGGAAGCATGAGTCATTTAAAGGATGTAATGATAACATCGTTATTTTTTCAGATCTAGGTTGGAATTTGCCCTTCACAAATAACAAAATGATGAGTGATGCAAGTGACATGTTGGCTGCGGCGCTGGAGCAGATGGATGGTATTATAGCAGGTAATGTGCATCCTCTAAAATATGGAATCATGCCATTTATTCTGCTCTCTTGGCTTTTGCATTACAGCTGTTTTATTACCTTTCCACTTTCTTATTTTCACTTATTGGCTCTCTCCAATGCCTTTAGGTTCCCTGTGGTTTCATCCTTGACCCTCCTTCCCATTTTCTTGCAGAATTTTTATTTTTTCAAAAAATTTTCAGTTAGAGTTGACATTCAATATTATTTTATATTAGGTTCAGGTGTATAGCATAGTGGTCAGATGATTATGTAATTTATGAAGTGATCTGTCAGTAATTCTAGTAGTCACTTGGCATCATACCTAGTTATTACAATATTATTGACTATATTCCCTATACTATACTTTACATCTCCATGACTATTTAGTAACTACCAATCTGTACTTAATCTCTTCACCTTTTTCACCCAATCCCCCTAATCCCCTCTCCTCTGGCAACCAGCAGTCTGTTCTCTGTATCTATGAGTCTGTTTCTGTTTTGTTTATTGATTTATTATGTTCTTTAGAGTCCACATATAAGTGGAGTCATATGGTATTGTTTTTCTTTTACTGACTTATTTTACTTAGCCTAATACCCTCTAGGTCAGTAATGGCGAACCTTTTGAGCTCGGCGTGTCAGCATTTTGAAAAACCCTAACTTAACTCTGGTGCCGTGTCACATATAGAAATTTTTTGATATTTGCAACCATAGTAAAACAAAGTATTTTTGATATTTATTTTATATATTTAAATGCCATTTAACAAAGAAAAATCAACCAAAAAAATGAGTTCGCGTGTCATAGGTTCGCCATCACTGCTCTAGGTCAATCCATATTGTCACAAATGGTGAAACTTCATTCTTTTTTTTATGGCTGAGTAATATTCTATTGTATAGATGTATCATATCTTCTTTATCCAATATCTATTGATGGGCACTTGGATTGCTTCCATATCTTGGCTATTGTAAATACTGCTGCAATGAACATAGGGGTATTAGTGTTGAATTTAATTAGTGTTTTAGATTTTTTCAGATATATATATCAAGTAAGTATAATTGATGGGTCATAAGGTAATTCTATTTTTAAGGAACCTCCATGCTGTTTTCCATAGTGGCTGCACCAATCTGCAATCCCACCAACAGTGTAGGAGGGTTTCCTTTCCTTCACATCCTCACCAACATTTGCTCATTGTTGATTTATAGATGATAGCAAATTCTGACAGGTGTGAGGTGATATTTTATTGTGGTTTTAATTTAATTTCTCTGGTTAGTGACATTGAGCATCGTTTCATATGTCTATTGGTCATCTGTGTGTCCTCTTTGGAGAAATGTCTATCATATCCTCTGCCCATTTTTTGAATTGGATAGTCTGTTTTCTTGGTGTTAAGGCGTATGAGTTTTGGATATAAACCCCTTATCAGATTAATCGTTAGCAAATATCTTTTTCCATTCAGTAGATTTTATTTTCATTTGTTATTTGTTTTGTTTCTTTTGCTGTGAGTTCCATTTGTTTATTTTTTTCTTTTGTTTCCCAAGGAGATATGTCAGAAAAAAAATATTACTAAGAACAATGTCAGAGAGTTCACTGCCTAAGTTTTCTGGTTTTATTTATTTGGGTCCTCTCTTTTTTCTTAATGAGTATTGTTAAAGGTTTTCAAAGAACCAGCTCTTGGTTTCATTAATCTTTTGTATTTTTTTTTAGGCTCTATTTTGTTTATTTCCACTCTGATTTTTACTATTTCCTTCCTTCTATTCACTTTGGGTTCTGTTTGTTACTGTTTTTCTAGTTCCTTTAGGTGTAAGGTTAGGTTGTTTATATGTCTATTGGTCATCTGTGTGTCCTCCTTGGAGAAATGTTTATATGTGATTTGTCTTGTTTCTTCGTGTGTGTTTTTTTTTTTTTTTCATTTGAATCTCAGAAAAACAACAAATAATTTGTTAGTATATTTGTTCCCAGTATTGTATAGGATTACTTAATACTACAAAAGTATTCATTTTTAAAATTTTAAATCATTTTTTATTTATCAATTACAGTTGACATAAATTTTAATATTAGTTTCAGGTGTACACCCCAGTGATTAGACATTACATAACTTACTAAGTGATCATCCCGATAAATCTTGCACCCATCTGACACTGTGCATAGTTGTTAGAATATTATTGACTGTATTCCCTATGCTGTACTTTACATCCCCATGACTATTCTGTAACAACCAATTTGTACTTCTTAATCCCTTCACTTTTTTCACCCATTCCCCAACCCCCTTCCCATCTGGCAGCCATCAAAACGTTCTCTATATCTGTGAATCTGTTTCTGTTCTGCTGGTCTGTTCATTTTGTGTGCTTTTTAGAGTCAATTTATTGATAGATATGTATTTATTGCCATTTTATTGTTCATATTTTTATCTTTTTTTAATTTTTTATTTTCTAAAGAAGACCTTTAACATTTCATATAATACTGATTTGGTGGTGATAAACTCTGTTAGCTTTTTCTTGTCTGGGAATCTCTTTATCACGCTTTCAATTTTAAATGATAGTCTTTCTGTGTAAAGTAGTCTGGTTGTAGGTTCTTACTTTTCACCACTTTGAATATTTTGAGCCAACTCCTTTTGGCATGCCATGTTTTTGTTGAGAAATTGTCTGACAGTCAATTTCTGGGAGCTCCCTTGTAGGTAACTCTCTTTACTTTGCTGCTTTTAAAATTCTGTCTTCGTCTTTAATATTTGCCATTTTAATTGATGAGTCTTGTTATGTGCCTCTTTGCATTTCATCTTGTTTGGGACTCTCTGCTTCCTCAACTTGTATGTCTATTTTCTTCTTTAGATTAGGGAAGTTTTTAGTAATTTTTTCAATTAGGGTCTCAATTTTTTGCTCTTTCTCTCTGCCTTCTCATACCCTTACGATGCAAATGTTTTTATGCTTGACATTGTCCCACAGGTACCTTAAATATCTTCATTTGGGTGGGTGTTTTTTGCTACCTTCACCTCCAGATCACTTATTTGATCCTCTGCTCCACCTAATCTGCTGTTGATTCCTTCTAGTGAATTCTTCATTTCTGACTGGTTCTTTTTTATGGTTTCTATGTTCTTTTTTATGCTTACTCTCTTTGTAGAAGTTCTCACTAAGTTCCTTGAGCATCCTTAAAACCAGTGTTTTAAACTCTGTATGTGGTAGATTGCTTGCCTCTATTTCATTTAGTTCTTTTTCTGAAGATTTCCCTTGTTCTTTTATTTGTGACATGTTTCTTAGTCTCCCCATTTTGGCTGTCTCTTTGTGTTTGTTTCTATGTATTATATACATCTGCTACATCTTCCAGTCTTCGTGGGGTGGCCTTATGTAGTATGTGTTCTGTGGGGCCAAATTGCACAGTCTCCCTTATCACCTGATCCAGGTGTTCCAGGAATATCCCTTGTGTGGGTTGTATGTGCCTTCCTGTTGTAGTTGAGACTTAATTGCCATTGAGACTTCAGTAGGTGCAATTGACTCTCAGGTTTACTGGCAGGAAGATTGGCCACGACCACAGTGTACATGCTGCTGTGCAGTGTTGATCCCAGGGAGCGGGATTTGCCCTAGTGGCTTCTAATGCCTGCTGACTGCTCTTTGGGCATGCCACCTGTGCAGCTAATCTGGTAGTGCTCCATTATGGTCTGAAGCTAGCCACTGGGTGTGCTCTGTGTTTGTTCCAAGGCTTCTTGTGAGGGTCTCCAGTGCAGGTCAATGTTAGACACTGCCTGTAATTGGTCCGGGGCTACCTGTGGTTGGTGGCTGTCTATATTGGATCTGGATGCACATGCAAGATGTCACACTGTTAACCAAGACCAGCTGCCACCAGTATTGGGTCTAGGGCAGGTCAGCAAAAGGTCCAAGGCACCCGGAGACCTGCAGCTGCCTGCCAGCTACCTTTAAGGCTCAGCTGCTGAAAGAACTTTCAGTGATATGTAAGTTTGGTGAGGCAGGGTTTCAGGGAGTCACCAGGGTGGGGTGAGTAGTGTGTTCTCCAAGTTAATACAGATTCATATTTGGCACCAGTGCTGACCATGAGGACACTCAGCGAAAGTCTCAATGGGGCTAGCCACCATCTGCCTGAGGCCTGTGGACCTTTGTGAGTGGTGGGGGTGGGGTGGCTCTCAGGAAGTCACCGGGGTGGAGCTGGTGGAGTTCACCAGTCTAATACAGATTCAGATTTGGCCAAGTGAGGGGAGGACTCAACACAGGGACAATGGTAGCTGTCCTTCAGCCCTTTCCCTAAAACCACACAACTCACTTTCTCTCTGTATGTCTCTGGCACCCCTGGAGCGTGATAAGAATTCCTTGAGAGTTTTTAAAGAAAGACTGCCATGCGGACTCAGGGTGGCTGCTGTTGAAAGAGCCTCAGGGCTTGTGCAAGTTGGGCAGGGCAAGGTCTCAGGGAGTTGTCAGGGTGGAACGAGTGGACTTCACCAGGTTAATGCAGATACAGATTTGGCCTCATGGGAGGAGGACTCAACACAGGGACAGTGGCGGCAGTGCCACACAACTCAGTTTCTCCCTGTATTTCTCTGGAGACCCTCCAAGCTGCTGTCTCTCCACCAGAGCCCAAGGTGAGTGCCTGCCAGCAAGAATTTTTTTGCATGGGTGGGCCCTTTAAGAAGATGCCTGTGTTTCTAACACCCTTCCGTCTCACCCAGTTGTTAAGTGGGCTCCTCTTCCCAGCACTGGTGTTTCATGCTGGGAAGCCTGGTGTGGAGCTGAGACCCCTCCCTCCTCAGGGAGTACCTCTGCAGCTGAAATATCACTCTGGATTTTCAACCGCCACCTGTGGGTGTCCAGTCAGCCTGTTCCACATCTCACCCCTCCTATCAGTCTCAATGTGGTTGCTTCTTTATATCCTTTAGTGATAGGGCTTCTGTTCAGCCAGTTTTCAGGTGGTTGTCCAGGTTGGTTGTTCTATAATTTCGTTGTAATTGTATGTGATCATGGGAGGAGGTGAGTGCACTGTCCACCTACCTACCATCGTGTTGATTGGAACTCCTCCTGGGTTAGTATTATGTTTAGGTTAGAATTTGGTTCAGGGTTTAGGTTAGGTATGAGGTTAGGTTTAGAGTTAGATTTAAGATAAGGGTTAGTTTTAGTGTTCGTGGTGAGTTCAGTACAGTGGGGCCTTGACTTACCAGTGTCCCGACTAAGGAGTTTTTTGAGATACCAGCAGTCTCTGGGCCGATTTTTTGCATTGAGTTGATAGAGTAATTTGAGTTAACGAGCTCCTTAATGAGTTCCTCGGATTAAACTCGTAAGTCAAGGCCCCACTGTGTTAGGTTTAGGGTTAGCTTTAAATTTTGGGTCATAGGTTGGGTTGATGTTAGGATTAGGGTTAGGCTTAGGTTTAAAGGTAGGGTTAGGATTACAGTTTAGTTTAGAATTAGGGTTAAGGTTAAGGTAAAATGTTTGTGTTTATTTCAGTATTATGGTTAGGGGGAGGATTTATGTTAGGTGTGGGGGACCTCGGCAACTGAGATATCCCTCCAGATTCTTAATCTCCACATGTGTGGAGGTAAGTACAGCAGATACCTACTCTGCCATCTTGACCGGACCCTCTTTCCAGAAGTATTCTTTTATTTTTTTAATATATTTTAGTGATTTTTTACAGAGAGTAAGGGAGAGTTAGAAACATCGATGAGAGAGAAACATCGATCAGTTGCCTCTTGCACACTCCCTCCTGGGTATGTGCCTGCCACCAAGGTACATGCCCTTGACCGGAATCAAACCTGGGACCCTTGAGTCCGCAGGCCGACGCTCTATCCACTGAGCCAAACCAGTCAGGGCCAGAAGTATTCTTAAATTTTACTTTAAGATGTTAGCATCTTGGGATTCTGATCAACGTTCCTGGTAGTCTGTGGACCACACTTTGAAGGATACTGCTCTTTCCAGTATCCATGAGTGTTCTGATCTGTTTTCTTGAATTTAACACTCACTTTTCACCAGTGACTCACACCTACTTACTTTTTCAATTCTTCTGTTATGCTTCATGTCTCTCTCTCTTACTGCCAGTAAGGTATTTCCCCTGAAATATCCCATAGACACATCAATGTCATTATTTTTTTAAAAAATTGAGCTCATTATATTTCCTCAGAAACCTCTCTAGCAGTCTTTGGCTAATTCCATAGCCCTTCATCTCAGCTTTACAGGGTTCCTGTGGAGATAGATAGAGTTGGTTCTGTGAAGCATTTAGCACTGTTCTTAGCAAATCGATGGCAACCATTGTTATAGTTTGGCAGATTTGAGTTTTGATCATCTGTCCAGTATTAGGAGGTTCAGTGGAATGGACTAGTAGAGAGAGAGACTCTCCCCCATTGTTAGAATTGATCAAGCCAGACAGCCAACTGGAGAGACAGCTAACACGTTGGTTCTCAAGTATCATCCAGTTGTAAGATTTCCAGATTTATGAGGTGATAGCCTAAATATTGTAATTATTGATATTTAAGTGTGAAGTTTGTATTTATATTTGACAGTATGTTTATTTAACAGACTAGAACATAAAAACCAAAGAGATGAAGAGGTCTATACGAGTGCTTTCAGAATGGGCTGTGGGTCAGATGTGTGGGTTTAAATAGCAGAATGTTTTCTCTTATAAGTAACTGAAAATAACAATGGCTGTAAAATTATTTTGTAAAGCTAATTTTAGCAAGAGCATTTGATGTGAGGCTGCAAACAAAATCATGGTGGAAATGTTGATACACACTTGCTCACACATCCACATACGAATATATACATGTAATTCATTCCACTTCTTCAGAGATTACGTTCTGGCAAGTTACCTGGGAGCTGGCCCTCTTACCTTTGAAATTATGCCACGCAATTTCCACCTCAGCGTGTAGCTTATTTCTAGGAAATGAAATCCTTTATGGTCCCTAAAATTCATTCGTGTTTTTTGTAATACATGGCTCCACGCGAACTGATCTGCTACCTTCTTAACCCCTGTGTCTGTGAGGTTAGCACCTCTTACACCGAAGCCCACCATACTCTTACTGTACCACACAGTTGGTGGCCCACTTGTTAGATATTTGACCATTGATATTCACCATCAGTTATACAGTTTTTATTTTTGCACCAAATAACTATGCCTTTGAGAGATTTACCTGATCAAATGATCTCTTCCTTCTTTTTTTTCCTTTTTACTGAATTTATTGGGGTGACACTGGTTAACAAAATTATACAGGTGTCAGGTGCACAATTCTACAACACATTATCTGTACACCGTGCTGTGTGTTCACCACCCCAACTCAAGTTTCTGTCCATCGCCATTTATCACCCCAATACCCCCCCTCCACTTCTCACCTCCCCCTGGCAATCACCACACTGTTGTTTGTATCCATGAGGTTTTTTCTTTTTTTCTTTTCTTTTTGCTCAATCCCTCCACACGTCCCCCCACCCCTGGTGACTGGACTGCTGGATTTGCTTGCCACCTTCAGCTTTGGTGTCTTATCTAATATAAATCCTGTGGCTTTCTTTGATTTTTTTTAAACCTAGGTTCTAAGGCCCTGGAATATTCCAATGGGATTTTTGATTGCCAGTCCCCCACCTCCCCGTTCATGGGAAGCTTGCGAGCCCTGCACCTGGTGGAAGACCTGCGTGGACTGTTAGAGATGATGGAAACAGATGAGAAGGAAGGCCTGAGATGTCAGATCCCAGATTCAACTGCAGAAACGCTCATCGAATGGCTTCAGAGTCAAATGGTAGATTCCTTCATGTTGCACCTCCCATGCTGTGAATCTTTTGTTGCTTATTCCGAAATTTAGAACATAGAATAGCCAATTAGAGCAAGAAGAAAAAAATATATAGGGCAGCACAGGTTTTCCCTAAAGAGCTCCCAGCTCCCTTTTGACTCTAAGGGTTATTTTTACAAAGGGCTCTTTATGTACATTTCTTGGGGGCCCAGCAAGTCACCTGATGATTCTCATAAAAGTGGACTAGCCTTTAGATTGTGACCGAATAACCTACTGTGGCTTCGAGCAAATAGTCCTATAAGAGAAGGAACCTTGCACATCATAGATGCTTAGCAGTACTATTGGGCAGTTCACAGTAAAAGGACCCAGTGGCAATTCTAAATAGGCAGACTCTCAAAGAGCAAGAGGTTTGTAGCAGTCTTTGATATGAAGTGCCATCTAGTGGCTTGTGGTGGTCATTTCAATTCCAGTGTACAAGTTACTAGTTAAGCTGCGTTGTTGGGCTTTTAAACGGTATTCGTATTCACTGCTCAGTGAGGACTCTTTCTAGACATCCTTCTCAAAAAATTGATGACATGGCCCATCTGCTCTTTCCCTGAACACAATGGTAGATACCATGGTTTTAATATGCGGCAAACACATAAAATCTAAAGGATATCACAAACACAGATTCAAGGGAAAAGATAGGAAGGGTGTTATTTTGTAAGTATTTAAAGAATACTCAGTTTTCAAGAATTTACATTAATATGCATATGGGTTAATTGTGTTAGTATAAAAGCTAATGATCATTGTATGTAAGAATTGAGATATATTTTTGGTTCTGTTTGCTGTTACCTTAATACTACATCCTGCAGCTAAAACATGTTCACATGATGTGACACAAATACTCGTGTCCCCAGCCAGTCCCATGACAAGTGTTCTCATGTTCCCAGCCAACATGCCTCCCATTTCTGACAGTTTTTAAATGGTGGTGCAGCTACACAAACTTGACAGTTGGAGATATTTTATTTTTTTTATAATACATGATACCTTATTATTATACTTTTTTCTTTTTGGTTAATCCTCACCCGAGGATATTTTTCCATTGATCTTTTTTAGAAAGCGTGGAAGAGAGAGGGAAAGACAGAGAGAGACATCGATGTGAGAAAAACACATTGATTGGTTGCCTCCTGCACGCGTCCCGACCAGGGCCCAGGCCAGGGTAAAGCCTGCAACCAAGGTATGTGCCCTTGACCGGACTCAAACCTAGGACTCTTCAGTCCTCAGGCCGACACTCTATCCACTGAGCCAAACCAGCTAGAACCTTATTATTATACTTTATTATTTGCTCTGCAAGTTTCTTCTCTATAGATTGAAGTATCCAGGTTTTCTGATTCCTTTGGGGAATTGCTTCATGCTCTAAAATTAGATGTTTTTTAGCTGTTCCCTAGGCTATTTCTTCTTCCTCTCTCACCCCCTTTTTACTCCACATTTTTCTGATAATTCATCACCTAATGGGAAAGGAATTTACTATTGGCAGCAGAACCTATTCCTGGCTCACATCCAGAGGCTGCCGATGGCAGCCATAGCTCAAGGGTACCTGCGATTGAATTTTTAACTTGTGTTCAAAAACAAGTGTTGTCTAAAACAAAATTGTATGCCCCAAAACATTTCCATTCACACGTGCTCCATCTGTTCTGTTAAAGTCTTTCTGGAAAAAGAGTAAAAAGGATAATGATGATATCTGAATATAAATCAGATCGTGTCCTTCACTTCTTTCTCAGAAACTTCCCAGTGGTAGTCACTTCGCACTCAGAGGAAAAGCCAGATGCTAACTCTGGATTGCAAGGCCTTCTAGGCATTGCTCCTCATTATTCTTTGACCTTATGTGTCATTATACTTCTCTTTCACTTCACTCTAGGCACACTGGCTCCTTCACTGATTCTCAAACAGTCTCACTGGTTCTGAGACGCACTGGGCAAACTGGCCTCAGGGCCTTTGCACTAGCTGTTCACTCTGCCGGGAAAGCTCTTTCCCCAGATATCTGTATGGTTAGTTTTCTCATAGTCTCTGATATTGAAAGTTGTGTTCTTGGTGAGGCCTTCCCTGGACAGCCTATCTAAAATTTTACATATTCATTCCTGTTATTACATCTCTCTGCTTTTTATTTTCTTAGCACTTACCATTTTCTTACATACTATGGATTTGCCATGTTTATATCATTTATTTTCGGTCTATCAAACTGGAATGTGAGAATCTGAGAATTTTGCCTTGGAGCTAGGTTACAAATTACTCATACATAGTTCACAACTGGAATGTAAATATCAAGAATCTGAGAATTTTACCTTGGAGCTAGGTTACAAATTACTCATACATAGTTCACTTTTTTAAAAAGTATATATTTTTATTGATTTCAGAGAGGAAGGGAGAGGGAGAGAGAGATAGAAACATCAATGATAACAGAGAGTCATTGATCGGCTGCCTCCTGCACACCCCCCACTGGGGATCCAGCCGTGACCTCCTGGTTCATAGGTCAATGCTCAACCTTTGAGCCACGCTGGCTGAGCCATAGTTCACTTTTTTGACAAAAGAGTACAGGCATTTGTCAGACTGTGAAGAAGTTTCCATAATAATTTAGAAAAATTTATTAACACTCGTTACATAATTAAGATTTAATGATGACCAACTTGACAGTCCATTACTTAAGGCTGATACTAATGTTCTCATTAATGCAACTGGGTATTTATAGTTCTTTTTATTATTTTGCCTGGGCCAGAGAGATCCCCTGGTTTACTGTAGGATGCAGGCCCATTTAATGGTTTTATAGGATCAGAAGCTGGATAAGAAAAAAGAAAATAGTAACACTAGCTGCCTGTTATAGTGAAGGGATAGTGAATCTACAAGAATGAATTTGTGTTAATAGAGTACCTATAGCTTTAACCTTCTAGTAATGAATAGGTATTTTTTACGATTTAAAAGTTTAACACAAATATTTAACAATGCTTTAGCAAACTCCAAGTCCAAGAGGGCAAATAGGAAAACATGTTTGTTTGAGCCAAGCAAGTGGTTTTTGCTTACTTTAGGTCTAACATGATGAGTTGCCCTAGTGCCTTTTTTCAATAAATGAAGCTGAGACTTTCCTGACCTGGATCAGGTCAAGAAGTCCCCAAAGTGTCTGGTTATTTGGCAGTTTTAGTTATAGGCAATCTCAAAATCTGCAGAAACTGCAAAAATACAGTTTTCAACAGAGCGAGTGAAAATGCTGATGGTAAGAACATCAGACCAGGCATCATAACCCGTGAGATACGTAGAGTATAAATGGGGGAAATGAAGAGTCCTTATTGCCCTGCCATGTTATTTCCTCTTTTGAACTGCATGAGAAATGTAGGAGGGGAAAATAAGCGGGCTGTATGCAAGACTGACCCAGTCGGAGGTGCTGTGGTACACAGGGACCCTCGCACTTGGAAGGGATGCTCCACTGGCCCGAAAGGCAGCGTTGTTGCCCTGAGTCGATGATTTACAGCACCAGGGTAGAGCCTCACTGCCCTCCAGGAGAGGACGGGGGCAGAGCAGGGCCTCTGCCTGGGGCTTGATTTCTACCGTTGGTGTCCTGTCCTCTGACTCTGGACAGCAGAGCATGAGATGCTTTATTGGGTTGGTCACAAATGAAATGTGACAGCAATATTCATGGTTGAAGGATTCAAATCTTATCTCAATCTCCCCTCCTAGTACAGTGTTTAGTGGAGAGCAGGCAATAAATGATTGCATGCAGTGGTGGAGATCTAATACTGATTAGGACACGAGAGACCCTGTGTTAGATACTCCTTTTGGTAGCTAGGGATAATGTTTAATTAAAGGAGCTTCAGTGGATGGAGCCTTCCTTTTCCTCTCTCGATACTGAATTTTAAAAACTAGAATCATGAAATCAAGAGTGTATCGGTGTCGAGTACATGACTTTCTAACCAGTATGCTGTACGTCTGCAATTAATACAGAATAATACTGAACGTAAACTGTAATTGAAAAAATCTGCAATTAATACAGAATAATACTGAATGTAAACTGTAATTGAAAAATAAAAAAATAAATAAAAACTTTAAAAGATAGCAAATGGAATGAAAGAATATATTCATAATAAAACTACACAGTGTTGATGTAAAAACTAGATTATAAAACCTCTATCTTACAGTACTGCATAGTTCAGAGCGTAGGATTTGGAGTCAGACCACTACATTGTGAAATCTGTGTACCTAATAGGGTTATGAGGATGAGAGGAGATAATCTATGTAAACCATTTAGAACATTGGCCTGGGTTATTAAACTCTTAAGCACTTAAAAAAAAAAGTGTGCTGGCAGAGAGACACGCATGTAGCCAGCTCTAGCCTAGTCCATTCAGTGTGACACCTGCTGAAATGGAGATGCATCCAGATGCTGTAACTGGCACGTGAGTGAGCACGTAAGGCGAGGAAGACTTCACACAGCAAGCCCCAGAGGAGGTGGACCATAAGGGAGGAGGAAAGAGGAAGAAAGGGTGGGAAATACGGTCCATGCAGAAGGGAGACAATCAGTGTGTGAGAGAGCATTCTGTGTTCGGGGAGGTTTTCAGTGGTCTGGTAGGTGGAGCACAGGGGTTGGAAAAAGAACAGAGGCAGCAGGGTATTTGCCTAATGGAATTTATCTCTCTCTAACATTTTTAAGGCAAAGGTAACAAAATTGGGAGAAATATAAATAAGGGTGTGACTAGGAGAGACCTTGACCTACTTGAGTAAGTCAACACAGTGTTTTAAAAGTATGTAACTAGTCCAGTGGTAGCTCTTAACTTTGGCTTAATGTTCTTATAGTGACTTTTCTTGTGTTTGTGTTTTTGTTTTTTAAAAATATATATATTTTTATTGATTTCAGAGAGGAAGGGAAAGGGAGAGAGAGATAGAAACATCAGTGATGAAAGAGAACCATTGATCGGTTAACCAGCTGCCTCCTGCACGCTCCCTACCAGGGATTGAATCTGCAACTGGGATATGGGCCCTGACCAACTGGGAATTGAACCCTGACCTCCTGGTTCATAGGTCGACACTCAACCACTCGGCCACACCAGCCAGGCTAACTTTTCATGTTTTTTTTTTAAACTAATATCCTCCTGGGCATTATGAGCACTTGTAAATATTACTACAGTGTTGAGAAACGTGAGCATTCTCATTGTGAGCCAATTTTTAGTATTTGTTGTTCTCTTAGGATAATTCTGTAGGACTGGTTTTGGAACATTTTCTATTTCCATATCATATGCAGTAGCTTCATAAAACACTTCTAGAACTTGCTATGAAATACTTGTAATCGTGCTGTAATTTTCTTCAGGCAGAAGGAAGACGACTTTGGCTTTGTACCCTTCCTGAGCAGAATGCTTTTTTCCCTACTTAATTAAATGTATTTATTTATAAAACATTGCCTGTGTGGGAATCGAAAAGCAGGTGCCTGCTAATATCCTTAATTAAAATGAGGGTGTAAAGCTGTGGCGGGCCCATCTCAGCACTTGCTTAGATGGAGGACATGCATTATGCATCCTGGCTTTTTTCCAAAAAGCTGTCCTCGGGAAGCTACATAAATTTCACTTCGTGGTAGTCCCCGGGGATGGAAGTCGTCCAGGCCACTCCACCAGGCTCCTCGTAATACTTGTCCCTTAATTCTGGGCACTTCAGTTTACAACATGAACAGAATTATGCTGAGGTGATGGTGCAGGTATGTGACCAAGCAGCTGATGTTAAATTAAACATTTTATTCATTCTAAATATACATCGCACACTTACTAAATTTGTTTCTGATTTTTTGTGTGTGGCCTCATGGGAAGTATATCCAGTGTGCATAGTTTTTAGAAGAAATATCCTAAAATTTTCTTTTTTGTTAAAGCGCCTTTTTGTGTTGTGTGTTTTTTTCAACCTATAACTTGGGTTAGTCCCAGAATTTATACTGGAAACTGCATGACTACCAGTTAATTCTGGAAAGATAATGGACGTCACATCAGATAGGAGCTGGGTGGTAAGGAGGTACAGTTTATATCTACTCTGGTTGTAACTCGGAAGTTGTTATTTGCTGTTTTGATTGAACTCTGGATGGCTTCGTCTAACCATTTTGGACTCCACTGGCTTTTATTTCTGTTGTATTTGAAAGAGGAGCCAGGACATTCTATTGGGATTACATATTATATGGCTGTGAACTGTGTAAGTGAGATAACAAGGGACATAGCACATACACGACTATGTTTCAAAATGACATTTTTATGTTGTCTGCTCTCTGTCAGCCTTTTCATGTGTTTCCGTAAAGCCTTGCATCTGTAAGATGACTGAGAAAAAAAACCTCACTAGCTCTCCCAATCCATACTTTAGCATGTAGACCATGCAGGAATATGCCCAGGTCTGATAAAGAGCACGGGGAGGGCCCTAGCCTGTTTGGCTCAGTGGATAGAGTGTCAGCCTACGGACTGAAGGGTCCCAGGTTTGATTCCGGCCAAGGGCACATGCCTGCGTTGCGGGCTCCGTCCCCAGTGTGGGGCATGCAGGAGGCAGCCGATCAGTTTCTATCTCTCTCTCCCTCTCTCTTCCTCTCTGAAATCAATAAAAATATATTTTTTTAAAAAGTGGCGGGGAGGGGTTTGCAGGGAGAAAAAAGAGTGAGCAGTGGTCTAAGCCAGTGGTTCTCAACCTTCTGGCCCTTTAAATACAGTTCCTCATGTTGTGACCCAACCATAAAATTATTTTCGTTGCTACTTCATAACTGTAATGTTGCTGCTGTTATGAATCGTAACGTAAATATCTGATATGCAGGATGGTCTTAGGCGACCCCTGTGAAAGGGTCGTTCGACCGCCAAAGGGGTTGCGACCCACAGGTTGAGAACCGCTGGCCCTGGGCCAGGTGCTATGGAGGTTACAACATGATGCCTTGTGTAGGCTCTGCCCTGGAGCTTGCATAGCGTTATATGAACAAGCAAGCTCACGAGAAGTTAGGGAATTCAGGAAGGAAAATGCTAAATCTCCAGTGAGCTCGGCTGGTCAGGGCTGCTGGGGAC